GATAAACTGTAGTAAAGTTATCGATATAAGCATTTGAGGGTTTTGGTTTTGTATATATATTGGTTAAGAAAGCAACACTGACAAAGGGACTTTCCAAATGATTAACACGACCCTGAATGAATGCATCATAGAAGAGTCTGCGAAAACTCTCCATAAATTCTTCATTTTAGGTGTATTGGCAATGGTGCTGTGCATCCCTCCAACAGTCTTATTGAACGTGTTAGTTCTAATTGGTATTTACAAGACTCCCTCCTTACATACACCTAACAATGTTCTCCTGTGGGGTTTGGCTTTAACCGATCTCGGTGTAGGTGTTTTGGCGATGCCTCTATTTACAGTTAAATATGTTGCTTTTTACACCAAAAATCATGGTTTATGGTGTGAAAGTTTGGCATTGCTGACAAAAGTGCTACAGCCACCATTTTGCGGCATTTCAATTGCAACTTTGACGTTAATCAGCATCGACCGTGTGATAGCCCTTAAGTTTCACCTACGATATGCCAGCATGGTAACCACTCATCATTTTACAGCAGCGCTTGTTATCGTTTGGATAATGGCTTTCACCATCTGCTTGACGTATCTGATTAACGTTAATATCATACATTGGTCTACTGTTTTTATATTCGGTGTATGTCTAATAATCTGCAGTTCTAACAACACTTTTATTCTTCGAACTCTCCATCGTCATCGTGTGGACATACAAAGACAGCACGACCAAGTGCAAATAAATGTGCATAGCGCGGAGATGGCTCAGAGAAGGAAATCATCTCGCAACATGTTATGGGTTTATTTAATGTTTATTGTGTGCTACGTACCGTTTCTAGCAATGAGAACAGCAAGGAACTACAATGGAACCAACACGGATATGCTACATGCAGTTTATGAAATATCATACGCGCTTACTTTCCTAAATTCCTTGATCAATCCCGTATTCTATACACGACTCTCAATACCTCTGACAAGGAGCGGTTACCAAGGGAGAGCTCGCATCAAATCGAGGCCACAAAGGCCTCAAATCAAAACAAACTTGACCCGCGAAACGATCGAAGCGTGCATGTGGTTCATTGATAAGCTTTTATTCTCTAGAACAAAAAATCTAAGTGGAGTTTTCTTTAAAGCACTTGAAGTTAAACTGGGTCATTGATGTCCTTCAATGGCCTGAACAATGCCGAGTCATTGTTGCGTTTACAAGTGTACGGAGAAGGGATACCGAGACGCCGAGGGCAACAAAATCTCTTTCTTCAAGTTTCCGACCGAAAAAAGTTTGAAACAAAAGTGGAAAGTAGCTATTAGGAGAGAAGAAGGTCGTCATTTTAAGATTACAGATGCCACTAAGGTATGTTCAAGACATTTTCGAGACAGTGACATACGGAAAACTCTTGCTGGAAAGTATACTTTAAAACCAGGCGTCGTTCCTTCGGTGTTCACATGGCGCACTTCCCCTCGTAAACGGAAACCTCCTAAAGAAAGAAGTACAGCTGCAGTCCCTAATAACTTACCAGATTTAGATGACAGTGTAGAAGATTGTGTTGTTCAAGAGGTCGAAGAATTGCAAGTAAATGAAGTTCTTCCTAAGGTATTTGTCGAGATTGCCACTCAGACTGATTACGATGCAGTTGCGTTCGAAGCCATTTTGACGGAAGTCACAGTGCAAAGTGACAAGATTAAAYGTCTTGAACAGGARATCAATGAGCTACAAACTAAAGCAAACGAGCTAGAAGTAAACTGTGAAAGACTTAAAACAAAGGTTTTCAAGCTTGATCGATTTATGGCAACTAATAATGCAGCACATTTCTACACAGGTTTTGAGAATTGGGACGCATTTATGGCCTTATATCGATACCTCAATCCAGGACAAAAGGGAGAAAATATTGTGTATTGGTATGCATCRAATACAAAAAGTCCATCTGGTGAAGTAAATATTGATAGAGGTGGAAGACCCAGAGCTTTGATTCCGTTAGATGAATATTTTCTCGTGATGTGTCGTCTTAGGCAGGGRTTTCACGAGGAGCATCTTTGCCATTTATTTGACATATCATTGTCAACAGTTAGCAGGATTTTTATTTCTTGGATCAATTTTATGTTTCTGAAGCTTGGTGGCCTCACAATATGGCTTTCAAGGGAAGCAGTAAATGATACAATGCCAGAAGAATTC